GAACGATCGGTACCACTTTACTTGAAGGGGGCTTTTGTAAGACTGTCATGAAACATTCAAAATCATGAAATGTCAACATGTTGTGAATTTAAAGGCAATTTTTTTGCATGTTTTCAACTTTTCATTTATTCCTTCATTCATTCATTTTCCTTCAGCTTAGTTCGTTGTTTATCAGGGGTCGCCACAGTGGCATAAACCGCCAATTATTCCAGCATATGTTTTATGAAGCGGATGCTTCATAACTAAGACAACATACAGTAACTAGTCATAAATCTGTCATAAACATGATTGACATGAGGCCATTGTAATTGTTCAAGTTCATTTATTTATAAAGCACATTTAAACTCAATTTAAGTCACAAGACTGGCCAAAGTGCATCAAAGTAAAATAAAAAGACAGAACAAAAAATAAGCCAGGAGAAGCAACTGAAAAAAAATGAAGCAGTAGAAAGGACTATTAAAATAAATAGTTTTTAGCTTGGCTAATTGTGTTGTGAATTTTATAACAGTTTTATAACAGTGTCATTATTATTTTTCTTGACTTCAACTACAGTGGTAAAAATGTAATATGTCATTAAAATATCCTTGAATAGTAATGATTCTGTTATTAAAATATATTAACCGAGTATTGACAATTCAGTTTGTTCCACTGAAATAATGTAATCAGAAAAATATTCATGATGATTACAATGGCTATATGACAATCATGTTTATGACAGGTTTATGACAAGTTATGCAGTTGTTGTAAAAAAAAAATGAGTTAAAAGAGGAGAGAAGAACCCAGTCCAGGAGACTCGAAACAAGCAGAATTCCTTTATTGAGACGTGTTGGTTAATCTGCAGTCATACAGCGTCTTTAAGATGTCCGTGTCTGCAAGAGCCTACTAGAGGTCCGCAGTCTGCAAGTTCTTCACAAGTCTCTCACAAGTCTCACACAAGTCTGAATTAGTCTGAATTAAGACAAAGATTTCATGGCTATATTGTGTTCTTAGGAGGAGGGGATATGGCTAAACAAAGCATGCAAATTAAGGGTTGTGGTCGGCAGGGTAAACTGCTTCTCAGGTCTAATCTCATTATGTTCTGGAGACAGAAACCGCCTGACCATTTGATCGAAAAGAGAAAACAATAGACACCCCATGCTGTGAAACTGATAATTGCATCACTTTGGCTTAGTCTGTAGTCAGCAAGGCAAAAGTTAAATGACCCTCCTAGCTGGCATGTCAATGAAATAAAATAATTAAAAACCAGAGAATATAACTTTTTAGTTATACGTAGATTATTGTTAATTTGAAATTAGATGATAAAAATTTATATTTCCACACTGTCTTGGTAAAGTTGACATGACAAGACATCTCAGACAATGTCATCTTTTCATTTAAAATGTCATAACTGTGAAAATTACTCCTAATGAGAGTTTTTAAGTTTTAAGCATGCACAAATAATACACACAGCACAATAGGCGCATGACATGTTTGCCCTGACGTGTTGCTATTTTCAGACTAGTGTAACCTTAATTTTACAGAGTATGATAGTTGTGCGCCTCGCTTACACATTGCTTAAAACACGCAGGATGTACAGCAACACACAAATATCTTTACAATTGAAAAAGAATTAAAGGATTAAAATATTACAAAATTTTAATTTTCTACATAAATATAAAAACGAATGCCTCCATGCCTCTTCACTTTGGGGGGCTTTTTTCATCTAAATGGGATGTGACTAAACTATGAACAAGAATGGCAGCTGAATGAGGTGTGAGGGAAGGACGTAAACGATTTATATTTTGAAGGTGGAAATAAGCGGAATGGGTGACATTATTTACATATGCAGTGAATGAAAGGGTGCTTTCAAAGATGACCCCCAGACTTTTTACCTGAGGGGAGGTGGTAATGACAGAATCATCTGTGAGAATGGAAAAGCTATGTAATTTATTTAAAGTGGATTGTGTACCTATAAGTAGAAGAAAGTTCAGGAAGTTGGAGGTGAACCAAGATTTGATGTCTGCAAAGCAATTAGTAAGGGATGAAGGTGGGAGTTTGTGGTTGCGTTTGGTTGATAAGTAGAGCTGGGTGTCATCTGTGTAGCAATGAAAAAGAATTTGGTGTTTGCAGAAAATATAACCAAGTGGAAGATGATAGATCATAAATAGCAGGTGTAGGGATGGTATACAGTTTAACCCAAAAGGACCAGTCTGGTAGATAAAGAAGAGCCGGAGTCAGATTTTTAAATAAATAAATCAAGTTTACTGAAGATAGTTTGCAGTTACATCAGCAGAAGCCAGCTTCAACACTCGCAATGAGTTCCTAGGCCGCTCTGCTTACAATCACCAATCAATAACAATTATACTCTCACATAACGTCATTAACTGTGTCATACATATAGGTGTTCTAACCTGATTGGTTAAAACACAGATAGACTTGGAAAATTTCCACGTGGGGTTTGTGCGTGTATTCTGAACAAAATCTTAAGAATAAACGTCAGACATCCCTTAGACTGATTAGAGCTGACTCCAGACCTGTAAAACAAATCAATAAACAAATAGAACACACACACTTAAAGTATAATCTGTTTCTAATCCAAGGCTGAGTGTACTCTCAGCCGTCTTTATCTAAACTGGTTAAAAACCGGTATAATCTACATTCAGGCAGTTATATTCTTACTATACAAAGTCTATCTTGAATAAAAGTAAAACCACTCTAAAAGATTTAACCGAAAAAATAGCAAACTCACTTTAGACATTTTAGATAGTAATAACTACTAGAAATAACAATAGAAACAGTTGATTCCAGTCCTCAGCTATCAGTTCCACTCAAGGTCTCCATGACCTCTGACCTAGTTTGGTGGCTTCTGAAAATAGTTATAAAGAGACAGGCAAATGCACTGAACATTCTTATATTAAGCAATGTGTTACTTACTTATTAACTTATTAACTTATTCATTAATTAAAATCAAGTCAAAGTTTAATACTCATTCAAATGATCAAATAGTTATATTTAATAAAAAATATATGAGAAACAAGATGATGAGAAAAGGATAAACGTTGGTCCATGATGAGATGGATTTGAAAGCAGAAATTTATTTATTGATAAATGAGTGCATTATAATAAATTCTAAATAAATAAATGTATTCTGACCTGATTAGTTTACTTTATGTCAAACTTTACAAAATATGTGTTTAATTTAAAATTTGACAAAACCCAACAACCCCCCACCCTCCCATAACTTCCCCACCCCCTGTAAATCCACCCTGTATATAAGTATAAGTAGTGAAATATAGGAAATATGTACAAAAAAAAAAAAAAAAAAACTGACATTTTCTGAAATAATGTGCTGTGTAATGTCATCTTTCCAGAGTTCTTCTTAAGATCTTATTTTAGTTTTTCTGTCCAGGTGATTTCATACAGCCTCAATAATATTCAGGTCTGGACTCTGTAGAGGCCATTTCATAACTGTTTCATCAGCTGTTTTTTTATTTTTTTTATTTCCAAATAGGATTTTACTGCAATTAGTAAACCACTATCATACTAAAATTAGTTAGACAGTTAGTCACACTTTATTTTGCTGGTCCGTTTGTTGAATCTAGGTTTCATTGCATCTACATGCCAACTAATTCTTATCAGATTATAAGTATACCGTTAGGGGGAGGGTTAGTGTAAGTTGTCATGTTCTTGCAAAGTTTCTTATAGTCAGTTTAATGTCTGTTGAAGTAGCAGTATCAGCAGATTTTAAGCAGTCTACTAATTCTCTAATGGACCATCAAAATATACTGTTACCGACTAAAATAATAATTCCAGACTATACTTTCTTGTTATATTCTAATAAAATAAAATTGAGAATTATAAAACAAGCTTAATGTTGCAACAGTCTTATATCATATTGGCAATAGCCAAAAATTCTTTGTATGGGTCAAAACTATTTATATTTTAAATGCTAAAAATCATTAGAATATGAAGTAAAGATATCTTTTATGAATATATTTAGTACAGTAGATTTGATCAATATTTAGTTCTTTGTACGCTCAGATGATATAATATAAGATTTATAATAGTTAATCTCAGGCAAATATTGTCCCATCCTAACAAACCATACATCAATTGAAAGGTTATTTATATAGATTATATACTTTAAATCTCAATTTTATAAATATTGACACTTATGACGGGTTTAGTGGTAAAGGGTATCCGTTATACCATCAGTAAAACATCATATGTAATGGTGGCCTAGAACGTTTACACAGTACTTTAGATCATTAAACTCTCATGATTGCATGCCCACAAGAACATGCATCAAACAGCACAGCATGTGGGTAGTCTGTGGGCTCGCTGTCTGACGCTGAAACTAGGCTGCTAACCAAAAAGTACACAGTCAGGATGTACGATCAGTGTTTGTGACGCCAAGGCAGAGCAGGTGTTTAAGGACATTGTGTAGTCATTGTGAGATTTTGAGTAGGTGTTATTCACCTGAACGTGGGATTTGTAGGTGTTCGCTCAGTTGTTGCACCACTGACAATTATAACAAAAAAGATTTACTTTACGAGAAGAAACAGTTGCACTGGTAAACAGAATTAGCTGATTAATTCTCACTTAAAGGCATAGTTCACCCTAGACTGTGTCATCATTCACTCACCACACTTCACTTGTCACAAACGTGTAGCCATTGACATCCATAGCAGAATCAACAAATACTGTAGAAGTCAATGGTTATAGCTTTCTTCAAAATATCTTCTTTAGTGTTTGGAACCACTTAAGAATAAGTAAATGGTGAGTACATTTTCATTTGTGGGTGAACTCCCTTTAAGTATCTAATAATCCAATCACATCATAGAAACTTGGATGCATTCAGGCATGTGTAAAGACATGGGTAAAGACACCACCAACCCTAGTTTATTATACATCGGGGCCATTATTGTTTAACATCACTACTTGTATTTAAAGTCCGCAACTTCAAAATAACATTTTTTTAGATGTTAGTATCAGTTTTTTTTTTTTTTTTTTTATCTTAAGGATATTTATAAGCTAGTGTGTTCCAAAACAGTAGCAAAATTCGCAATGAGAAGATAAAAACATCCAAAGCTTGCAGTTTGTCACTTCCGCCTAAAATGGATCAATGATTGTTTTGACATCATTACCTCATCCTTCAGTTTCTCATCATATCTTCTGACCAATCAAATGCTCTTTAGTATCTGAAATGCGTTACAGACATTACTTTTTAAAATCAACACATGCTCATTGTGACTAGGTATATCCATATACATTTCTGGAGAGTGCGAATTATGAAGCCTTCGCTACATATGGCTGCATTTTGTATTTAACAGCATTTTGTATTTTACCAGTTTGCCCAGTAGCTCGCTATGTACGTCGACAGACTTGAGACAGTTGACCGGAGTTGACCGGTTGCGTCCGGTGCAGAACGGTTCTAGAGAGTTGCAAAAACAGAAGCCAAAAAATAATATAAACAAGTAAATAACGGTAAGAATGTGGTAAAATCTGAAAATGTGATAAAAATCAGGAGAGGGCTTTTCTTTTTCTTGATTGCTTTTTAAAACTGTCAGGATTTAGCGAATTGGGTGGGCGGGTTTTGAAAACACTATTGATTGGGTTTAAGAAAGGAAAAGACTCTTTAAATCCAAACAAACGATTTGTCCAGCAATGTGAAAAACTCCCTCTGTTGAGCTGGATTTCCACATGGGTTTCGCTGTTGTTCAGTTCTTTTGTTCTCTCAAGGCCTGTAGTGGAGTCTGGAGATTCAGGTTTGAGGCGTCAAAACACTGTAGTCGTGTTGACTTCTAGTTTCATGACACAATAAACTTAACTGGACTCTTAACTGGAAATAAAAAAGGGCATGTATCAGAGACTGGAAAGTTTGGCCATGCTGTTATGCCATTTTAGCGAGGTCAACGTCTGCTCGCTGGACCTTAAGAAGAGATGCTGAAGAACTCTCTCTCTCTGATGTAATCTGCATAAGACCCCAGCTAATAAAGTGAGTGCCCCTGTTGAATCCATACAATCGAAATATACCTTATAAATTGTGTCTGTTGGCTCCCTGTCTCTGAAGCCTGCTCGCAGTGGGAGGAGTAACATTTTAGTTACAATGGACCATTTCACTTGTTATGGGGTGGCAGTGATCAGTGTCCCAATTTTGAATCCAGAGTCATATAAGAACTGTGTGGATTATATGACATCAGAAAGTCCCATATGACACCATACCACCCTGCAGGGAATGGACAATGTGAATGCTTTAATTGGATATTGTTGAGTATTCTGGGTAAATTAAGGGATGACTAGAAGGAAAATTGGGACCAGCATGTGGCAGAGATGGTAAAGGCCTACAATAATACTTTTCACCCTTTTACAGGGTATGCCACTTATTTTTTTATGTTTGGACGAAAAATAAGTGGCTAAGTTGTACATGGAAATTACGTTGGGTCAGGGAGATATCGAAAAAAAATGTTCCACCAGTATGTCGTTCCTCCTGAAGAAACTTAAGACTCGTATGGTGGGATAATGAAGACATGGAGAGAGAGAGAGAGAGAGAGTCTTAAAAGTACAGGGTGGCCTTTGTCAGTCTTTGCCAGCCTTTGTTGATGATGGGTTGATTTCTGTTCAGTCAATACAAGAAGCTAAAGAGCTAATAGTTGAAGCCCAAGCCCTGTGCAAGTGTGGTGGTCTACACCTTCTAACTCCTAAACTGTGTGGAATCTTCAGAATGAGCAAATACCAACAAGCACTTAATCTTAATCCTTACACAACAGGACATGTTCTGGCCATCCAATGGTCTATGAATGATGATACATTTGGCTTTGATGTCAAGTTGAAAGAGCAGCCATCAACACGCAGGGTGATTCTTTTAGTCGTCGCCTCTTTATACGAACCTCTTGGGTTAGTCTCACCCTTTCTCCTGAAAGCAAAACCTATCCTGCAAGAATTGTGTTGCAGAAACATCAAATGGGATGACTTTCTTCCCAGAGACCTACTCCCGCGGTGGGAGGAATGGACAGGTAGTCTTGAAGAAGTATTTCAGCATTCCAAGATGTTATCATCCACCATCCTTTAGTACTATTGTTAGGACATAACTTCATCATTTTTCAGATGCAAGCGATCTAGGATATGATGCAGGTTCTTACCTTAGGCTCAAAATGATGAAAATTAAGTCTTGTAATGTCCAAAGCTAGAGTAGCACCAACAAAAATCAAAAGCATTCCAAGACTGGAACTGTCTGCAGCTGTAGTCTCTGCCAAGATTAGTGCCATGCTAAAGATGGAATTGGAAATTGAAATCAGATCTTTTGGTCTGATTCTCAAGTTGTGTTGGCATACATCAATAACGGAACTAGGTGATTTTGTGTGTTTGTTGCAACTCTTTTTAAGGCAATCAGAGACATCACAGATGTAAGTCAATGGCATTATGTTAGAACATCTGAAAATCCAGCACATCATTGCTTGAGAGGCCTTGACATAACAGTGACATGCATATCATCTTGGATATCAGGACGCACATTTTTTTGGGAACAAGATGTCCAAGGTGAACAAGGTCCCCACCACCTAAACATTCCGATACTTTGCTTGTAGGTGATCCTAAGGTCAGAGCTGTTTCTGCCCTTGCAACCAAAGGATGTGATGGTTTAAACTTTCTCAACCAATTCAATCATTTTCTTCATGGAGAACACTTATTAAGGTGATTGCCGTAATTAAAAGACTAGCTACAAGTCAGAAGTTACTTAATGACATTGGAAGTGGAAGAACAGGTTAAAGCCTCTGAGGTCCTGATCAAGCTTGTCCAACAGAAAGCATTCTGTCATGTGATAAAAATGATTCAGGGAGACAATTTTTTTCAGAACTCAAGCATGCTCTTTCACCCTAATCCAATATTAAGAAGAGGTCTTCGTGTTGGAGGAAGGTTGAAAGAGGCATCCTTGAGTGAAGAGCTAAAGCATCCAGTTATCCTGCCAAAGGATAGCCACATCACAGAATATATTGTGACCCACTATCACACAAAGGTTTGTCATCAAGGGAGATTTGCATCAAGTCATGCCAGTGGAGTCTGAGAGCAACAAATAAGGACTCGGTAGGCAGACTCGATGATTCATCCCTGAGAACATTGTTTTATAAGGCAATGGCAATTATGAATAGTCGTCCATTGACAGTAAATAGTTTGAATGATCCCTCATCTCTGGAACCCCTAACGCAAAATCATCTTATTCTAATGACATCAAAGATTGCTCTTCCACCTCCTGGAAACTTTCAGAAGAAGGACATGTATACCACAAAAAGATGGCGTCGAGTTCAGTACTTGATAGAGCAGTTCTGGTGTCGTTGGAAAAAGGAGTACCTTCTAAACATTTCTACATGACAGAAATGGCATGCACCTCGTTGCAATCTCAAAGTCAATGACATAGTAATAATTAAAGAGGAAATGATGCCCAGAAACCAGTGGCAGTAAGGTAGAGTTGTCGAAGTCATTCAGGTCAATGATGGCTTAGATCAACAAGTTAAACCTCAAACAGGAGATCGAAGACTTTGAGCACTTCCAGGTGCAGAGAGCTCAGCCTCGGGTGTTCTGGTGATTTCAGGGATGAGTCGACGATTGCTAATAAAACTGTCCAGAATGCACAAACAAATATCCAAGATCTCTTGTTGGGTGTATGATGTAAAGGCACAACTGATGCCAACAGACCCAAAATGAGGAGGAATAATACTGCAAAAGTGTGAAAATTGGATAGACGCTGGGTTTAGCAATGTGTACACGCCGCTATCTTATCTCAATTTAATAAGTTGTCTTGTTACCTTGTGCTAAAACTCAGCTATAAACAGCAGACTCCAGTTATAGGAATAATAACTGTTATTTGGTTTTTCCTTTATGGCAAAGCAGAACGAGGTATAGTTGTTTTGTATTTGTATACTAGTACTTTGATGTTGTTTACTGAACTATGCTTTGAGTTTGTATTGTGAATGTGTGTATAATATGCTTTACATCCTTGTGATTGTTTACTCTGTGTTTATTTTTTTCGGTCTGTGTAGTTTTACGATGCAATTCGCAACACAGTGACAGGAAACAAGTAAATCATATGAATCGTTTTATACAGTTACAACGGGTTTTTGGCTTTTGGTCAAATAAATTACCATACAAGCATCAGTGAAAACTCTCTGCCTTCTTCTTTGATGCCATGAGGCCGCTACAGTCTCCATATCTTGAAATCTGGGAGAAGTTGTTTGTCTCCAGCCAAGACCGTCTGGCAGGAAAAACACAGGGAGACTGAAAGAGAAGAACAGTATTTCAAATTTGGGTCAATAATGGCAATTTCACAGAAATTTAATGTCTGTCACTGGTCTCCAGGTCTGGCCAAATCTTGTTGCAAAGCCGCTAGTTTCAACCAGATTTTTCCCAATTTTCAGTCTAAGACTACAGTCTGGTTGTAGCGACCCCATTTACCACCGTTTCAATCAAGTCAGCCAGCTTGGTGGGGTTTTGAGCCGCACTGACCACTTTCATCAATCGTCGATCATGTATCCAGCTGCAAACATCCCGGCAGGACAAGTGGGCTCTCCCAAGCCGAAACCTGTCAAGAAGATGGTGTCAATTACGTTCAGAGACCAGTTGATCAAATCCATAATTCCTTATTTGCTTAACACATGCAACTTCATTTATATGAAAATGTTTGATTTTTAAAAAGAGCCGTGCCTCCAAATTCCACCCCTAACCCTAGCCCTCAATGAGGGATGAGCTAATAATACTAAAAAGTAGAAATGAGATCGTACAAATTTATACGAATTAGCCACTAAATCAAAAAGTTACCAATTGCTGTGGGACTGTAGTGGTTCATTCATATCTCCTTTTAGATGAATGTGTGGTTTCAGACGTGAGCTATTAAAGGGAAGTCAGTCATAATCTTCCATAATCAGCATTATTGGACTGTTGCTATAACAGAAAAAGTGAAGTTAGTTGTGGATTCAGTCACATGTTTTTAAAACCAATAGAGGCCTTCCAATAAAACAACAATAATGAGAATCATGGCACTGAGGGAAATAGAAAGATTTTCTTTTTCATTTACTAAAATGTGTTGGACACTAACGATTGAACATATTTGAAACTATAAATTAAGAGTTAAGATGCAAAAACCTCTAAAAAATGTCTGCCCCTTTTGTTTATGTTTAGTTATTTCATGTTAAAATTGCTGAAAATACCCCATTCTTTGCTATAAAGATGGTTACTGAATTGAGTAATAGAAGTCTGAGAAAACTGCTAACTTTAGAAAAAAATTTCAGATGGCACTTAAAGGTTTTTGCATCTGAACTCTTCATATTTTTAAAAACTATACTTACCAATAACATAGACTTAAAGTTTTAATTTAATGTTTATTTAATCTGTGCAAGTTAATCCACTAAATAGTTTTTTTTTTGTTTATTTTGTTAAACTTTAATCAATGTCTGGCCATTCACTTTCAAGTTTGGTGTAGTGGTCCTTTTTTGTTGATGTCAGTTTGATATCTTCAGCCAAAAAGTTTTAACCATGCCCCTTTTTACGTTAGTTTGCTATGATTGAATGACATGCAAAGAAAGCTCCCTACTCAAATATTCCTTTTCAGGTGGAAGTACTTTAAGTAATCATACCAAAGTCCCTTTGAGTCAAGTCATTTCACTTGGCGGCCATCTTTGAAACACTTCTCTAGCAGTATGCTCGGGCATTCTGTCTGAATGGGGAAACATCAAATTCTTCAAAACTGTTTGCCAAGATTATGATTGCATTACATATTTGGAATCACCGATAAAATTTAACAACAACTGGCTCAAAGATTAATTTCTTAATGGTTAAATCAAAAAAATTGGCATTTTTTTTTTAGGTTGCCTGAGCTAATGTGCATGCACACTCAAAATGAATGAGATTACGACACCAACCTCAACACATTATCTTCTGAATAATGATCAAAATAATAAATAAATAAAAAATAAATAAACCAAAAAAAAAATTTTTTTTTCAAGTGTACTTGGTTCGGGGCTGCATGGTGGTGCAGTGGGTAGCACAATCGTCTCACAGCAAGAAGGTCGGTGATTCAAGCCCCAGCTGTGTCAGTTGGCATTTGCATGTTCTCCTCATGTTAGAGTGGGTTTCCTCCGGGTGCTCCGGTTTCCCCCACAATCCAAAGACTTGAGGTACAGGTGAATTGGGCATGCAGTGTATGTGAGTATGTTTAAGAGTGTGGTTGTTTCCCAGTGTGGTTGTTTCCTAGTGTTGGCCCTACAGATGGTTTTCAGAAGCAGGAACTGGAAGACCAGTCAGGATAGAGGGAAAAGTGAATGCAGCAATGTACAGACACATCTTGAATGAAAACCTTCTTCAGAGTGCTCTTGACCTCAGACTGGGGTGACGGTTCATCATCCAGCAGGCCAATGACCCAAAGCACACCGCCAAAATATCAATGGAGTGGCTTCACAACAACTCAGTGAATGTCCATGAGTGGTCCAGCCAGAGCCCAGACCTAAATCCTATTGAACATCTCTGAAGAGATGGCAGTACACTGTCACTTTCCATCCAACGTGATAGAGCTTGAGAGTTACTGCAAAGAGGAATGGGCAAAACTTCCCAAGAACAGGTGTGCCAAGCTTGTGGCATCATATTCAAAAAGACTTGAGGCTGTAATTGCTGCCAAAGGTGCATCAATAAAGCATTGAGCAAAGTCTGTAAATACTTATGTATATGTGATTACATTGTAATCATGGGGTATTGTGAGTAGAATTTTGAGGAAATAAACTAATTTAATCCATTCTGGAATAAGGCTGTCACATAAAAAATGTGGAAAAGAACTGTGAATACTTTTTGAATGCACTGTATGTTTGTATTTTTTGATTGGCTTCAGAGCAAACCACAGTTAAGCTGCAGTCACACTAGAGTTTGAGCCAGCGAATCTCTGTTGTACGATGCTGTGAAAAGGGGTGGGATTAAATAAGATGATTAAACATTAAAAAAAGTGAGTGATTGCTCCAGATTTTAAATTTCTGTCCAGGGAGGTCATGTTTTGATCCTTGATTGGTCTCACGCAGTCAACTGATGCGATTTCGCTGGTCAGAGTTCACCAAGCTTGAACTTTGCACCGCAGTGACCTCCGAAATTTGATGCATGACCTTGCAATTCCGGTCTGACGCATTTACATGCGTATGAATGGAAGTCTATGGGGAGACATGTCCAGTGTGACTACAGGTTCATCCAATGACTTGTCTAAATAACTTGCTTTTTTTATCTAATTAAGAATTTTAAACTGCAATTTAAGCTGACTGATAGTATCAAAATAACTAGAAAATTATTGATTATTTGCCATCATGGCAAAGACAAAATAAATTAATTACTAAACTATTATGTTTAAAAATGTGTTAAAAAAACTTCTCTCTGTTAAATAGCACAACGATATTTAATAAATTGTTTAATATTCAGAGGAGGGCTAAAAGTTTTGTCTTCAACTTGTACCTCACCTCCGTGAGGAAGACACTTAGTCATCACTTCTGCAGAAAAAAGCTCTATCTTTATGTACTCCAAAAATAAAACTGTCAACACACATCTCAGCTACATGTTCTACTAGGTCCAATCTGACTGGAGGCCGTAGAGCTGCAAGTCTTTCAGATAAACTTTCCACTTGTCACCGAGACACGGTCTGAAAGAAGGAAGTGGTATCTCTAGCTGTGATGTTGCTTCCTGTCCTCGTGTCTCACTGAGACTTTCCTGCCCTTTTTGTTGTAAAGAGGTCGAGGGTGTGTGGCCTCTACACTCACAACATCATCATCATCACGCGAAATACGACTACTGTGGATTACTAACTCAAGCCATGCTTTTTTCTGCATTGCAGCTTGCCTGAGCTGAGGGATCACTGGTTACAGACTTTACACAGGTGAGCACTCGTTTACAACTCTAACGTTTACTACATGTACTTTTACAACAGTTGGAAAACATGCAAATCAAGAAATTATGAAATTCAGTTTTGCCACATATCTACAGTTAAAGGGGTAGTTCACAAAAAAGAAAATTTGCTCAATATTACTCAATATTTAAGTGATTCTAAACCTTTATGAGTTTCTTTCATCTGTTGAACACAAATAAAAAAAATGTTAAACTGTTAGAAACCTGTAACCACTGACTTCAATTGACAAATACTATTAAAGTCAATGATTAGCAGTTTTCAGCTTTTTTCAAAAAAAAAAAAAAAAAAACTTATTTTGTGTTCAACTGAAGAAAGTACTTCATCAAGGTTTCAAACAAGTAAAGAGTGATAAAATGGTGACAGACTTTTAGTTTTTGGTTAAAGCTATCTAACTTTAATGCTGCAAAAGCAAATTAACATGTTTTCTAGCTGCTCAGGCTAGTTGAGATATTTGGTTTTGTTTACTTATTTTTACAGTAGTTGCAGAACTGAAATTTTGCAATTTGAAATGTGGTGACAGGAAAACTGTGGAGGCAAGGTTGTTAGCGGGCAGCACTTCCCCACCCCCCAGCGTCCTCATGAAGGTGCTGAGCGGCAATACCACGGTACACCTTCCTCTGATTCATTTACAGTACATTAGTGATCAGCAAAGGTCATAAATGCTTGGAATGGGATATTTCCCTTTTATCTCAGAGGATGTAAGTCTTTGGTCTGCAAATGTCTTTGGGTTTTGTGGTAGAAATACTGAACATTCACCTTGCTGTCTTACAGAATAAAACGCTAAGTGGAGATGGGATGGACTCTGACTTACTTGTTGATGTGAGTGATGTGTTTATTACTTCATTTTAGATATATGAAGGTACAAAAGCTGTCACTTGGGTGGTACCTTTTAAAATGGTACACATTTAAGTACGTGTCTATATGTAAAACATGGATGATTTTTGTTGTCACACCCTACTACTCCTTCATGTGCTCATGACAAACATGTGCCTGTTTCTAGAGCAACGGCAAAAACTCCGCCCTTTCAAAAGAGTTGCATAACCAGGAGGCACATGCACAGCAGCCGATTGGTAAGTTTAAACTATATAAAATGGCTGTTCAAAACCACATGTTTGGTTTGGTGCCCGCCAGTGAGAGAAAAAAACTGTGAAACTGAGTGGGAGCAAGAAAAAAAAAAAAAAGCTTGAGAACAAAGTTGTGAAAAACAAAGTCTGAAGGCTGACTATCATAAAAGGGATAGTTCACCTAAAAATGATCTTGGTCACACCTTTATAAACATGTTTATTCTGACTAAACTTTAAGAGAAAGATGAAAACATGTAAGCATTGACATCCATAGTAGAAAAAATAAAAGACCTTCTTCTGTTTTACAGAAGAAAGAAAGTCAGGATTGGAACATGTGAAGAATTTTTCTTTTTTGGTTGAACTATGCCTTAAAACCTTCAGTAAATGTAAACAATTCTTAATGTTTAACTCAATTACTAGAGGTTAACCATGTATCTCGCTTTGCCTCAGGGGAAAACGGAGGCAAAAAGTCCTTTAAAATCCCATTTAAGCTGAAGAGAAGCTCCACAAGCCCAAGTGTTACTGCTCATCCTGAGTCCAGTACAAAGAACTTGCTGTTCGGACGAAATCTCCAAGATGACACTGCGCTCCCAAAACCAATTGCTGTACGTCAATGTATTGTATTGATGCATTATTGTTGCTTGTGTATTTTTGGGGGGTCAGGAGCAAGCAATCTGTCTTCAAAACTACAGCTGCAATCATTGGGACATGTGATGGGTCTTTTTTTAGACGTTCTGCGATTTCTTGCTAGCCTTATCTAAACCTCAATCAGAGCTTTTCAAGATCTTTTTGATTCAGTATAGAAATACAAAACAACATTGAATTTTTGCCAAAACGCCCTTGCAAAAGAAAGAAATCGAAGAAACTGAAGTGAAATCCCTGCTGAAAAAACAGCATTTTCTGGTAAAGTATGTTTTGATGCTGGTCTTGCTGATTTCAATGCTAGTCTTGGTGGTCTCAAGGCTGGTCTTGCTGGTCAGGACCAGCATAAAAGAAAATTTGTTGACCACATCAAAGTGCACTGACAGACAGCTAACCTCCAGACTGAGTACTTCAGACAATCCAAAACTTAACATATTGACACAGATTAAATGTTTTTTGGATCTTCAAATGCAATTGGTGAAGTATCGCATGAGAAAGAAGTGATGGAAATGGCACATTTCATTAATATTATGTTTTTTTAAGCTTGAGGTGGTTTTGGACTTTGCAGAAAAGGGTTAAGGCAAATAATGGAATATATGGAAACACATTTGCCGAACAAACTCTATCGTAGCAAACATTACATCCATGTGAATAATCTGCTGTCACCATTATG